GGCAGAGGGGAAGTTAGTTGTTAGTGGTAGAGTTAGCAGGCGGCCATAGCCGCCAGGTTAGTAGTAGCAGTGTGTGTGTGTGTGTGTGTGTGTGTGTACAGTGAGTGTGCGCATGTGGGGTATTCAGGGTGATCCAGAGTGGAGTGCGTGTGTGCGACAGTGTTGGAGACAGTGACGACAGTGGATGTACAGGGCGCCTGTATGCCATAGCTTGTGGGACGAAGTTTGCATCTGAACTATGTTCGCGACTTCCATATCTCTGAGTTTTGAGTGGGCGCCTAGCGCCAGCCTGTTTGCCATCTGTTGTATGCATGCAAGTTGATGAATAAAGAGAGTCTGATTGCATAAGGAGCCACTAATCAAAAAAGAAAAGTTTGAACTTTGCAAAAAAAAAATCGAAATAATAAAAGTCCCGAGTTTTGCAAGTTCAGTAGGTCTCTCAACCTCCCTTGAAGTGCGAAATGATCAAAGAGAGAAAAAAAATTCGACTTCAGACTACAAATGACTTATAGAACTGACTAACAGAATCCTAGAACTGCGAAAAAAAAATCCGAAAAGAAATGACAAATATTCGGATTTCTCAGATGAGGATATTCGCAGTTTGGAAAATAATACCTGCAGGAGGGATTTCCCGTACCATTTTCAGAAAAACGAAATTCGAAAAAGAAGATATTCCGAATTTCTAAGTAATGGGACATGCAACAGGAAATCAAAATTTTCGAAAAGAAGAATATTCCGGGTTTTTAATAACGAAATTTTGAATTTTCAGAGGAAAAACGAAAATGGGAATTTCAGATGTTGCGCTATTACGATTTTCCACAACAGAATAGCGAGAAAACAAAATCCAAGAAAAAAAAAAAAAACCGATTTTCGGCAGTAAGGTCAAAATCGTGATTTTGGGGCTATCTAGTGTGCTCTAATCAATCAATAAAGACTAATCCGCTACTTGGTCCCCGCACACGTGTCAGATCAGGTTGTCCTGATTCACGTGCGGTGCACCGATACCAACTGTTACATGCCCAGTTGGGCGATGTACATAGAAAACCGAGGATCCGCAATGTGATAAAAAGGACTGAATGGACAATGTAGTGCAAGTAGAATCTCAACAAGCAATGTGCATTCTAATACATACAAAATGGTGCTGAATAGCGCAGGGAAGACTTAGATACAAAGCCTGACCTGACCAGGACTCACCTCATTCACATAGTATCAGATAGCGAAGCAGAATGCTAGAATGCTATGACTAGCCCAATCAATGTTTGAACGCCGACCAAACATACATCGCATCCATCACCAGGTGTGAAGGAGCCTGGCGCTGTACACAGGAAGAAAGCGCCAGGTCCAGACATACACAGACGAAGAGGAGGGAATCAGACGAAAGGAGGGAGNAGCCTGGCGCTGTACACAGGAAGAAAGCGCCAGGTCCAGACATACACAGACGAAGAGGAGGGAATCAGACGAAAGGAGGGAGAGAGATGGGATGTCGTCAACACAAAGTCTTTGTCACAAGTCCCAAATAATCCCTCGTTGCAATGTCTGAAGTCCAAAAGTCGAGTCTGGATCCGATGTCACCAAGCTCTTTCTCTCTTCTCTCGTAGTCTGCAGAGGCAGTGAAGTCAGATGATGAGAGGGGGGGAGAAGGAGATGGTGGACTGAGAAGAGGAAGAAGAAGAACTTTCTCTCTCTCTCTGTTACGAGCCAGATACTAACTTGTGATGTTGGCGCTGTGCTGCAAGTACCTCGAAGACGAAGCTGGAGCAACGGCGCTGCAGGTAAGTACCTCTGGCCTCCGCCCAATCTCTCTCTCTCTCTAGTGCTATCCTAGCTATGGCGCCCAGCGCTGGAGACTACAGCTACCTACTGTGCCCAGCGCTGAAGAATAAAAGCTAACGCTACTACTACCCTGCAGCGCTCCCTCCAGAGTGCTGCTGAGGAATCCTGAAGACTACAACTGCCTCCTGCCTGCCCGTGAAGTGCATGGGAAGTCCCTATGTGCTACCTCGGTCTGCCTGAAGGGCGAGCCAGGCCGAGGAGGTTGCTCTTGCCAATGCTGAAGTGTGCCAGGGGCTGGCGCTGCAGCAGTTGCTTGATGCTGGCGTGGGAACAGGCTAAGAATAGCCTGTTCCCGAAACCCTGGTTCGGTGCCTGAGTTTCAGGGCCGGTCGTTCTGATGAACGACCGAAAATGGCCCTTCGTTTCAGGCTAAAAAGGTTGTTGCCATTTTTAGTCTGAAACGACACAGGGACTGTAGGCCCCTGTTTTCAGGCTTTCGGGCTGAACAGTCACGGGGCCTGTAGGCCCTGGTTTTCAGGCTTTAAGCCTGAATTTCAGGCTTTCAGCCTCTGGGACGCATGGCCTGGAAAATGACCCTCGTGTGCAGGCGCAACATGTAACATGCGCCAACCGGCGCATGCAGCCAACTTTCTCCTCTCCCCCCTCAGGAGGGACCCTAGATGGGTAATGGAAAGACAAACTCCCCTGGTGCAGAATGCTATCAAGTATTTCTTAACACAGCTCGGTGGGGAGAGGTGGGGGGCATTGCGGTCTCACATCGATGTGTGGCAGAGCCTATGGGCTTTTCACTGCAAGCCACCTAGGGAGCAGCGATTCAAGGAACCCACGTGGGACACATTCGGGCAAGCAGATGCCTCCTTGACCCGCAAAACAGCGTCACAGTGGTGGGCAACTTACGGTTGTAACCACAAGGACCTGCAGAAGATCGCAACAAGGGTCACAAATGTTTGGAGCACAACCACACCCTCAGAGAGAAATTGGTCCTCCCTTGACTTGATCCACAGCAAGAGGAGGAACAATCTCTCGAGCGAGAGTTTGGCGAAACTTGTTTATGTGCATTGGAACATGCAGCTGCAGAGCATTCCAAGAAGTATGAAGGACGGGTGGGTTGATGTGCAGGCCACATTCTTCGATGACCCCGAGCCTCCATCCCCGAATGATGGTGCGATTTTGCCGGGGCCTTTGGAGATGACGGAGGAGGGGTTGCAATGGCAGGCTCGCTTGACAAAGACCCGAAGGGGGAGGATTCTGAAAGATCTGGATTCAGATGATTCTGCTGCATCGAGCAGCGACGATGACATAATCTGGAGTGAGAAAGGGGGCAAAAGGACACAACCGTTGCGGGACACAAAGGGCAAGGCCCCAATGGGGGAGGAGGATGAAGAGGCTGAGGGGGGGGAGGAGGAGGATTCATATGCAGACTCAGACTTTGAACTGCTCCCACCTGAGGACAGTGATAAATCTGATGATGACTCGGGCACGTTGTCTCCTGCTGCAGACCTGCTTCTGCCGTCCCAGCGTCAATGCGAGAAGGAGAGAGATTGTGTTGATGAGGAGGAGAGGGCAGCAGCAAAGGCCCTAGCAGACAAGGATCGGGTGAGGGTGCAGCAACGCATAGAAGAGGATGCCGCACAACGTATGGCTGTGCGACCTCCCACAAGGGTGAACACACATGGAGCGACATCTGCACCTCCCTCTGCATGCACAACAGGTGGACTCCACACAAATGAGGTGCAACAGCACCACCAACTGCAACCTGTACAGGTGTTGCTGCAGCAAACAGAGAAGCAATAGAAAGAAGACCCGCCTCAGTTGCAGGACCTTCAAAAACAGTTGCAGCAACAGCAGGATGAAAAGGGCCACAATCAATGCAACGTGCGACTGAAACAGCAACAGGAAAAGGAACAGCATGCCATGCAACCGGAGGAGCAGCCCGCCCAATGTATCGTGCAGCAAGAGCAGCAACTGGGGCAACAACATGACCAACCGAAGGGCCAGCAGCAAGAAGAGGACGCGCAACAACCACCATATGTAGATTGCCCTCCTCCCTTTCCAGAGATGGATGAGTCTCTCGTTCATGACAACTTGGAAATCAGCAGGGCAAGGAGGAAAAAGAAAAGTGGACGCGAGTCTCCAATCGCTCCAATTGTGAAGCGTGGGCGGGGCAGACCGAGAAAGGGACAAGGAAGACCTGACCCGCCACCACCACCAGCAATATCCCGCCCTTCCACACGCAGTGGGGGCAGGAGCCATCCACAAAACAAGGGAAACCCGGGCACGAGTGGAAAGCGCATGCAAGTCATTGAGGATGATCCGACGGCGGGCGAGCAGAGTAGCATAGATGAGGAAAGCAGGGACGAGGACAACGATGAGGGCAATGACTCCGACCCTGAATGGCAGTAGATTAGGTGATAGTCTTAGGGTGGTGATTGGGTATCAGGGTGGTGATTGGGCATCCTGATACCCAATCACCACCATAAGACTATCACCTAATCTATTGCCATTCAGGGTTGCAATGTAGCTACTGCCACCTTGTAGCGCTGCGTTGCCGTGTTAGGTGGATGCAACAAACATTGTTAGACAGACATACTTCTCCTTTCTCTTCTTCTTCTTCGTCCTCCTCCTCCTCCTCCTCCTTTTCTTCTTGTTTGTTCTCTGCCTTTCAGGAATCTCAAATCACTTGCAGTTAGGCAGTATGTCAAATTTTCAGACTTTCAGTACTTCTAGGTTCATCTGTTTGTTCAAGTTTTTTTGTTGCTTTTGCTGTTCAGGCGTGCTTTGCTATTAGTTTGTCAAACTTATCATATCAGATGTTCATCGTCTTAGGGTGGTGATTGCACTGATTGGGCATCACATAGTGGCAATGTAGGCACTGTCAGCCTGTAGCACTGTGCTGCTATGCAGGGCGGATGCAACAAACAGGCATATACTTTCTTCTTCTTCCTCCTCCTCCTCCTCCTCTTCCTCCTCCTCCTTGTCCTCCTCCTCCTCCTCCTCCTACTTCTTCTTCTTCTTCTTCTTTTCTACTTTTTTTTCTCTTCTTCCTCTTCTACTTCTTTTTCTCTTCTTCAGAAGTTCACATTCCCTCAGGTACACTTCGGGCTCACCACTTGAGATAGTCTGTTCGCCCCCCCCTAGTGGACCGAACAAACCAAGCCAGGGTCTAGGTTCAACCCTGAGGGGATAAGCATAACCTTGAGATGCGTAACCCATAATCCTTCATGTGTGGTGTCCACGCTGCAAAGATATAGATTGCGGTCTGCCGCTGGTCTGGGATGCTTGTCGGGTTTGGGACAGGGTGGGGAGGGGCAGCTGAGGGAGGGGGGAATTAATTCTTAGCAATAGGTATTTGTCGCCCGATACAGGGCAAAGGGGTTTCCTCCTATTTCTCAAGAACCTGTGAAGTTAATCCTCTGGACACCAGAGCAATCAATGCTGGTAGGCGTTTTCTAAATTACTTTTTCTAAGGTCATCTTCAATCTTTTTGTATATGGGACGCTGGACCCGGTTTCCAGCAAGTGACGCTGTCGGGGAAAATACCCTGACAAGGGTATTTACCGGGGATTTTCAATGTCGGACACTGTCCAGCGCTTTCGTTGAATTGAAGGACTTGATGAGACTGCTGCTGCCAAAGTTTATTCAGACAAACCCTATGATTGAGAGACTTAAATTTTTAAAACTTGACGTCGTTGATGTTCGACCGAAATAGTGGTATTCGGCAGTACGACCTATCGTCCACAGGTCCTGACAAGGCCGCAGGGGCATACGGTCGTGGGAATGCTAAGACTAGACTTATTTTACCTAGGAAAAAATAATAATAATAATAACACTCGGCCACAGCTGTGCGATTCAGGGCCTTAGAAGGCCGAATAGGTGGTCGCGCCGTGTACGTGGCCGTGGCATGCGTGCCGAGCCGCCAGGCGGTCGCCGTGTTGGCGACAGCGCGGCTGGCCAGCGGCTGCGGCTGTTGCAGTACGCAAGCGTAGCCTGCTTGAGGCCATATGCGATGCCGCGCTGGGCTAACCTCTTCATAAGGAAGAGCTGCTCCTATTTCAGCGTGAAAAAGGAGCTAGCCTAGTTTGGAGAAGCCCAACCTTTTGGTGCGGCCGTTTTCGGCCGTGCGATCGATCAGATCACGCGGCTGAAAAACAACCGCGCGAAGATTAGCATGGCCCCTGCGCAAGGATGACACGTATAAATCGAGAAATGAAACATATATCTTTATTTTTTATTGCTTAGATTCCCCCCCCCTCCTCTCTCGAATTGCCAAAGGTCTTTGCACCCGTTCGTTTAGGCGAACGGGTTGCACAGAAGAAAGGAAACGACGGAGTATCTATCCCGCTTCTAGCGAAAAATTCACCCTCATTTTGCATTTTTGGTGAGAAGAGGGGCGGGGTCCATTTTCGTAAGGTTGCCCCCTGATTGCATGAGTATTATAATGGTCCGTGGCTTCTCAACTGCACCAAGAAGTGCCCTGCCTTGTTGGTAAGGCCTGGAGGCAGAGGTGACAGGCGACAGCTAGGAGGTAAGTATCCCCCCTGTTCACCTGACTGCATCTGGATTCGAACTTGAGTTTGTGTTTTAACAGTTCATGGGGTGCCAATGGCCCACGGGCAAGGCCCTGCCTCGTTGGCAGAGAAATGCAAGAAGAAAAAGGGAAAAAATCAGGATCAAAAGTTTAAAAAACTTATATTTTTGAATTTGCGCCTATAATTTTTTGATGGCCAACATGATTTTTGCTGGCCCTGAAGTTTTTTCTGCGGGTAGGTGGGCACCTATCCTACATGCGTGAATTCTTTCAGATTTGTTTATTTAGTGGCTTTTTATTTAAAAATCGTTAAACTCGGGGTACTTTTGGTGTCCCCGCCCCCTTCGATCATAAAGAGGCTGCCACAAGTCCCTCTTTTTTTGCTCACCTTGCAGTGTGAGCAGCAGGGGGAAAGAGTGGACAGGGATCCCAAAGTGACAGGCTGCAGCTGAGTGCAGCCAAAACGAAAAAAAAAAAAAAAAAGAGGTAAAAAAAAAAAAAAAGAGAAGGGAGAAGAAAGAAAGAGAAAAGGTCTCAACTCTGTTCGCAACCTCGGTCCAGATGCAGGGCAAAGAAGCATCTGGACCTTGAGTGACAGCAGACTGTTGGGTTCAACAGTCTGCTGAGAATGGCTTTGTACAACCATTTTGAGCTGCGCCTGGCCAGGGGTTGATAGCCAGGTGCATCGTTGGGGATGGGAACCTGATTTTCCTAGGGGAACATCAAGGATTTCAACCCTTGATCTTGTTTTTTACCAAGGTCCGAGCCCCGGTCCGAATTTTTGGTTGGGGGCAAAGCAGCTGCCCTCAGCCCTCAGCTGGCTACAAAAGCAGCCAACAGCCAGCCAGCCAGCATTCATTTGTGACTGATGCAGCTAGCAGCTCACTTGTGTGATTGTTGGCTGCTGGAGAAAGGGTTGCGGCTGGAGAGAGAGATAGGGAGCTGGGTGGAGATCTGCAAGAGGAAGGGGAGACACTGCTGGAGGTGGCCGCAGCTATGAAGTACAACCATAGCCACCATCTCAGCGAAGGGGAGGAGCGCTGGAGGTCTGCAGAGAACGTGGGAGTGGGAGCAGCCATAGCCACCATCTCAGCGAAGGGGAGGAGCGTTGGAGGTCTGCAGAGAGCGTGGGAGTGAGGGCTGCCATAGCCACCACTTTACTTGGTGAAGTGTAAGAGAGGTGCTGCTGCTGCCATAGCCGCGGCTGTAGACAACAACGCAGGGGAGGTGCTGTCCGTTCAAACGCGGCGTCGGCAACCATTTTTCATGAGGTGCTAGGGTGATGCTGCGCGACTTTTTCGGCGGCGGCAGACATTTTTGGTAGCGGCGCAGGGGAGTTGCTAGCCATTTGATGACGGGCGGCAGTGTTTTTTTTGTGACGGTGCGGAAGCGCCGTCCGTGTACACGGTGATTGGCATTGATTTTTACTACGGTGCGAAGGTGTTGTCCGTTTGACGCGGCGGGCAGCAGAAATCTTGGGTGACGGCGCAGAAATGCAGTCTGTTTTTACGGCGACGGTGGTTCTTTCTTTGGTGGTGCTGGTGTTATGTTGTCTGCTCGACGCGGCAGCGAGGCATTGACGCAGGGGTGGGGGGCCACCGAATTGGTGGTGTGTTTTGAGGTGGTGCGAACGTTGTGCTCTCCGCGTAACGCGGCGGCAACGCATTGACATTGGTGATGGTGGAGTGGTGACGCTAGTGGCATGTGACGGTGACGTTGGGACGCCGTCATAATATATGGGGGTGATTGTGCATTTAGGTGGTATCGCGGCAGGCGATCATTGTAAGGGGTGGTGTGGATCGCTTGCTGACGTTTTATAGTGACGACCTTTTCATCTGGGGCATGATTCTATACGGTTTTCTTGAGTGAACCGTATTCTACAACTTCACTCAAGGTCGGTCAATTGATTGACTCAGATTTCCCTTCACACCTGCGTGAACCCACACTTTGCTTGACCCTGTTTGTTTTGAACGTTCAAAAGAAAAGGTAGAGGAAAAAGTGTGTGAGTCATGCATGTGAAAGGTGAGGTCTGACTTGGGTATGGGGTTTTATTGGTTTTCTTTGATCTTGTTGTTTGACGTGGTGTGCAGGTAGGTAGAGGGATGCTTACAAAGGAGATTGATTATGCCTAATTGAGAAGAAGGAATGGATTGTCTTCTTTCTACCTTTTACCTGTCTGATTGTTAAGAAAGAAAAAAAACTCGTTGGTTTGAAAAAGATTGTTCAACGTGTGTCGTAGAATGGATACGATTGAAATAAAGTAGATGAGGTCAAATGGACTTAATCTTCCCCCAAGGAACGACCCTTTCTATCCCGAACGACCTTGTCTACCTATATCTGTCCAAATGATTCTCG